TTTTTTATGAAGGAAATAAATGAGTTTTATTGTTTTTGTCTAATTCCATTATCTTTATGTAGTCGCGTTACCGTATAATGTGAGAGTTTAAACAAATGAATATCTTACACGTACTCACTACTAAAACTATCTATATCATCACACTCAATTCGAAAGATAAGTTGACAAGGGTTGGACAATTATTTTAACTTGTCCCATCCAATTCAAGCATGTCCAAAACTATATTATATTTATTTAAAAAATTATGAGTTCTCAATAAGCAAATTCAATTTTTTTTGTCCAAATCTTTTGAGCAAATCTGAATTGATTGATATCAGGATTATAGTCAAGTATCCTTTACTATACTTCAGAATATTTTGTTACTACAAATTTGAAGTGTCAAAAAAATTATAAAAATGAAATAAAAAGACAGAAATTAAAAATAGCTAGTTTATTAAAGCAATATTGCTTTATATATTGAAAAATTGTGTTTTAGATATTGATAGTTGCTTCAAGTAATATTATAAATTTTTGATATCAAAAGTATTTTTTAATTCATTCATCCAAGCTATTATATTATATATTTTAAAAAATTATACAAAATTTATTCAAATTCATATTTAGAACTTTTTATATAAATATTTTTATACTTTGAAATATGTTGCTTTATACAGTGACACTCATAATTATAGATCACTTGAATAAAATTTTTTAAATTAAAATAATTTATCAACCAATAATACAATAGATATAAAATTTTATTTGAAGAAATTATAATTTTTTTTAATTTTTTTAATTTCAATTTATCTCTTAAATCTATAATTTCATAATTTTATTATTTTATATCAATTATTAACTATTAATATTTACTTAATATTACATATACAAAAATAAAATTAATTATAATATAAAAGATTAATATATATTTATTTTTCTTTATTCATGTTAAATGAAAGTAATAACAATTAAATTGCAGGCCAAAATTTCTGCAGTGATTCAGAAAGATTATTCTATTAGAATAATAAGCAAAAAAGATACAAGTTAGTCAGTTAATTATAGTTAAAATCTGGTAGAGATGTGTGATTAATAATACTCTTTACCAAATTAAGATAAGAATATTCATACTCACTTATTGAAAATCAAGAAAACTATGTATTTTATTACAATACTAATGAATATTATATAATAGCTATAAATATTAAAAAATTCTAAGAATAGAAAATAATATCAATATTAATGCTAATACAATCCAATATATTCTTACTAGATATAATCTTTAATATATATTAAAGAAAAAAATTATTATTTTGAAAATAATATCATAAAGTTCATTGAACTTTACAAAAAACTATTAAAATTATCTATTAATAACTGAAAAAAGATAATCTGATCAGATAAATAATATTATAGATTGTATAATAAAAAGATATTAAAGAATATATTTATAAAGCAAACAGTGAAATTTGATAATAGAAATATAATAATATAAATTATTTTACTTGAAATAGAGTTGAAAATCTTTACAATATTGATAATGACATGGATGTAAATCTTTATAGATAAATTTTATCTAAGAATCTTTTGAAAATAATTGATGACTATAATCTTGAGAAATCTAAAGTTGTGTTTTAACATGACAATAATCTCAAATACAAGATATTTACTGTTCAAATTTGACTTATGGAAAATAAAGTTAATATTCTCGATTGGCCTGTCTAATCTCTGAATTTTAATACTTATGAAATGAAGTAAATAGATGACTATATCGATATCAGATATAAATTTCTAGTAAAAGAGATGTTTTACAATAGGTTTTGAGAGATTAAAACCTGTCATAAGCTAATTGAGAGTTTGCCACAAAAATTTTGTGATGCAATTCATGTTAAGGGAGGATATATGAGACGTTGAATTTATATTTAATCAAATGTTTAATCTAAATAATTGTTTATATTTAATTTAAATTAAGTTTAATTTGCAATTTATCATTATTATGTTAATGGTTAATAAAAAATTTAAGTTTAATTCAAGTAATTTCATAATTATGGAAGCCACTGTATCAGTAGCTTCATTAATAAACCAACTAATTTTCATTAAATTATTAAGGATTTTATAGAATTAAGAAAAGTAATTTCATAAACCATTTTTGAAAATTCAATAAAAAGCAGCCACCATCGAATAACGCATTTTCTCTCGGATTTCTTGACATATTAGTATATTTAAAAATAAAGAATATATTTTGCAAGTTCAATTTTTTGGCATACTGATTCTCAAAAGTAACTGTCCTTGATATTCACGTATCACGCTCTTTGTAACGCTTTCAAAAGAACAAAAAATGTTCCTGGCAAAATTTTGGTATTCTATTTATTTCAATGTATGATACGTTGATAAAACATTATCCGCAACAAATAAGCCAATAAGGATGCGAAAATTTTTGATTATCATAACCAATGAATTTTTTGATTAATCTAGCAAAACAATAAAGCGAAAAATAGACAACGGCGGGGGATGATTGCAACACACATGTGATGGAATTGGTATTTAAGAGCTGCAACGTTCGAAAGTTTTAAAGCTCAATTTAATTTTTGAAAAAATTCTATCAGTATAGTATAGGTGTTTCGAAAAATCTCGAATTAGCATTGAAGTGGTATCAAAAGGTAAAATGGATAAGAACGGCACTTGGAATGGTTGAATCTTTCAATTTTGAAGTAATCTATCTATTTTAATTAGTAATTATACATTTTTGCTTTGAATTCATTCAAATCTAAAAATTATTATTTGTCGACTTACATGTATTAGTTATTAGCATATTTATTGTTATTGTTATAGTAATTCCATGCAAGCTGATCCCTATGTTAATGTTAGGCAACAATTGTCTATTTTCTAGTTATCACTATGTGGTTTATCTTTCTTATTATTTTAACGTTAATAATTAAATTTAAATGATTAATACGAAAAATATAAATTTCAAAATAATGTATAAAGTGAATTGTTATTGATAAAAAAAATGAAGCGAATGATGAAGAATAGCGAATAAATTCAATAAATGTAATGATCACAAAATTCTGTAAATGGTTATATAAACTAAGTTTCATTATAAGAATAATTTGAATAGTTTTGATCAAAAGGAACAGTCATTGCATTTTAAACTTGAAACCATTTGAAATTTATTTAATGATTACTTTTAAGATTTTGTTATTAGACTATAACGAATTAAAACATTTTTTGTGAAAATGTTGTTACCTTATTGTAATATTTTGTTTCTGTTATCGGAATAAGGTTTTGTCTCATTGAATTCTTAATCTCTGCTCCTATAATTCAAAGAAACTCATAAATTTTTTCATCTGTTTTATAAAGAATCATATTCATCACAGTAATCATTTACTAGTATATCTCTCACAATATTCTTTATAAAAAAGATTTATCAATGTTTATATGAACATAGTTTTATTTAAACTTATTATTCATTAGTGAAATGGCAAAAAACAAAAATTTCGTCCTTATGTTACATGAAGAATTGAAAATTAAATTTCAAGTTTTCTACTTTTCTTTGTTTGATTATTATTGGTAACTAACAATTTTAAAAAGAATTCTTCCATAAATTTGTCAAATTTCATTGATCTAAATGACTGTAGTGTCACACCAAATACAGAAGTTAGGTTGACTAAAGAATTGTAGATGCGAGAGCTGGACTGAAGGATTTATGCAAAATGTGTTTCACTGGGGTTCTAAAGGTCTCCTGTGCCAATCCACACGAATATTGTGCAATCAAAGATAAGGGTTTCAACAGGTCAAATGTAAATTATATATTGAATTTCAAATAACAAAGTAATAACTAATTATTAACAAAATATAAACTTCAATTCAAATAACCAAAATTAGCTATACAAATTTACTAATAAAACTCAAATAATAAAGCCAAATAATCGAATCAAAATAATCAAAATAATTAAATAAACGATGCATTAACTTAGTACAAAACCTTCGATTTGTTAAGCACGAAAGAAATGAAGTTATCGATTTTGTTAAGACACAAAAGAGATAAAAGTCAAGCGCTGTTAGGTAAGAGTTAGAAATTAATTTGCTTTCAAACCACACATTAACTTGTCTCCCTGACCTTTGAGAGCTATAATTTGGTTACTATAACTATCTCTATTACAGATCGTAAGTTACTACAAAATCCGCAGGTTCTAACGTCCAAATTATGAATTTTTGCAAGAATTTTTTTATAAAAGGGATATGGTTATGCTTCGAGACAAAGAATAATAATATAAAATAAAGTAGAATTATGTATGATACAAAATGTGAATTTTTGTATGAATTTTGTAAGAATCTCTATCGCTATGGATCAGAGTAATAACGTACGATACGAATGTTAGTGTGGGTTTTCTAATGATAATCACATTCCTGGAAGTCAAAGTTAGAATTTTGAATGAATTTCGTGGGATTTTGGTTGGTTCAGGTGATACGGACAATAGGAATACATGTAAATGTACATGTAATCGTAATTATTTTAAATTTTTCATAACAATATTAATGAGGGATACAAGACTTCTCATCGTTCCTTAATTTTCGTGATCACGAGATTTCTCGTTGCGACTGCAACAGCCCTGTAATAATGTATCCGATATGACATCCAGACGATTCATTTTGCCCAACAAACGAAATCTAGAATGATCGGGCATCCAGAACTCACAATATCATAATTTTAGCATTCCATGAGTTCGAGATGTTTTTTGGGATTTCGTTTGTCGGAATCTTGAATATCACTCGATCATTTTGTTATTAAAAGTTAGCATATTTATATTGAAGATTTTTAATAGGCTGAAGCAAAGAAGTAAATTTTTAAGATATACTTAAATATTAAAAAAAGCCAATAAAGAAAGAATATAGCATTTACTTATTAAATTGAAAAATGTTCTGATAAATTTGTGACATATTGATTGTTATTCACAATACTAATACTAATACATGTACATGTATAGTTTGACTATTAAAACGCTGTTGATGCTGCTTTAAATTTCTTATGTCCCTCGTGGACATACTAGACGGACCGAGGAGGGTTGAATATAAGGGAAGAATGTGTCATCCATGCCACTACCAATTGGATTTCCTTGGCAACCATAATTAGGGAAAAAAGTGTACGTGGTACCAGGATCACTGGCTCTAACTTCCTGTAAAAAGTTATCGGCGCCCAAACCAAAACATCCACCTCCTACGTCGCCAGTTTGACTAGTATACGCAGTACCGCGCAAAACTAGAGAAATGAAAATAACATTAGTATTGAGGTGTTTTATTAATTATCAACTTAATCGAATGTACTGGATTTTACAAATTGTGCAAGCTTGAGCATGAATTACAGAAGCCAAGCTGACAGTCAGAGACAAAATAATTGATTGGAGCTTCATCTTTGCTTCGCAATTAAGCTTTTAATATTTGAATTTTTTAGCTTGTGAATTGGTTGTGAAGGTGTGTGAGATCTCTTTTTATATTGGAATTGAGTCTTATAGTTCCAAAGATTGTTCGAACAAAACTATCGCGTGTATTGAAAATGGAATAATTCTCATGATGTGCATGTATCTTCATGATGGTTATCTACATGCACAATCATCGCTATTTTTAATTTTTGTTATACATGTAAAGCAAAACATTTTATCATATAAATACATGTACATGTAAACATGTAACTCCTTTAGGAAACTTAAGATAATTCGTTTAATAAATTTAATTTGTTTGATTTAGGATATTAATTACCATACAACTGTGATTTTCAGCCAAATACATGTACATACAGTCAACTCTTCCTAAATTCACACCACTGGGACCGAAAATGTAAACTTAGAAAACATTATTTGCACATTATTTATGTTGACATGAAAATTTTATTGATATGTTCACATGAGAAAGACATGATATATAAACGACAAGCTAAAAAGAATGTTCACTTATCTTTAAGTTCCATCGTGGTAGCTGTGCATTCAGGAAATACATGTAATTAAATAATGCTAAATTTAAACATACATGTGAAAGTTCGCTTGAACGATCACCCTAAATAGCCATTTTTCAAAGAATAAAAATAGACAAGCTTATAGTCTTGTAAGATGTCGGTACTATGTTATTGATATCAATAATTACAATTTTTCCCATAGTACTTTGCATTATTCCTTATTGTGCTGTGTTGTATTTTCAAAAATACATGCAATTAAGTGACGCTAAATTTAATAGTTAACGAAAGTTCGCTTGAACGAATCACTCTAATAATCATTTCTCAAGAATAAAAATATACAAACTCATGGACTCGTAAAATGCCGGTGCTATGATATTGATATCAGCATTACAAAAATACATTTTCTCAGAGAATTTTTGCAGAAAAATTTCGTAAATAAAAACAATACAAATAGCTTTTTATTCTGCTGCTGTGCTGCACTGAAAACTGCTCTGACTTCTGTATCACGAAATAGCCAAGAATGTATACAGTATACACCAACCTGCCAAAACTATCCGGACAAGATTTGTAATCGGAAAAATTAATAAATTTAAAACACCGATTGCAGCATCCAATTTTTTGTTGAATGCGCTAATTTTCTAGTTTAGAAAATAAAATTTTTATCCTTTTATTTATAAATTTTTGGAAATATTTGTAAAAACACTGATCAATTATTTGCAAAGTTTAATTAAAGACATTGCGCATATAGAAATTTTGCAATCAATCATCCAAATTATTTTTTTTGTTAGATTCATCTTGATTGCTACTTTCAGCAAATATTTTTTTGCTATTCAAAACAGTCATTTTTGAGTAATGCCTAAAAGATCAGAACTTTCAGATCTTGAATGTGGATAAATTAATCATTCAAAAAAACAATAAGTGAAACCAGTAAAATATTAAGATATCTAAATTCATATTTGAAAATCAACACCACATTCTGATATTCTAAAATATTAAATGACCATGTAAAATAAATATAATAACTTTATATAATAAATAAAACAATCAGTTATATATAAAAAATTAATTATATAATAACTTTCATAATTATAAATTCAGAGAAATTTATTTTATTAATAATATAATAAAAATCAAAATTCTTCTTATTAAAATTTATAATTTTATTAAAAAATAATTTTTATTTTTATATTAAAATAAAGTTTTATACAGTAAATTATAATTTAATATATTTTTTTAAAATTAATAAATATTTTTTTCTAAAAGATTTTTTTTAATTATAAAGTTATTATAAAATTTTTTTAATTAAAAATGAAATTAAATTAGAAAAAAAATTTTGTAATAACTTTATAATTATAAGAAAATTTATAAGATTTGAAAAAAATATATATTAAATTATAATTTATAAATATTATTTTAATATATTAATAAAAATTATTTCTTAATAAACTTATAAATTTTAATATAAAAAAATTTTATAATTATAAAAAAATTTTATAATTATAAAAATTACTATATATAGATTAGTGCAAAAAAATTTATATCTCAGATAAATATTAATAGATTATTTTCAAAATAAAATTTAATTCTATCTTATTTAATTAAGTTATTAAATATTGAAATTTATTTAAATGTAAAAAATTTTAATATATATCTTTTATAAAAAAATTTTTACAAATAATAACTTTTTTCAATTATTTTTTCTTAAATTTTATTATATAAAATCTGACTTAATTTAATATAAAAATTATATGGTAAATAATTTAATTACTCAATTTTGAATCTTAATATTTTTATAAATTTAAAATATATATTTATCAAATCTAGAGCAATCTACTTACATAATTTAAAGTTATAATATTGCAAATTAATAGTAATAATATTTAAATTATCTTTTTTTTAAAAAATTTATTTTATTTTAGTTTTTTTTAGTAAAGCAATACTTCTTTTATTATTTAAATTAAAGTATAATAGAATAGTTAAAATAATATAAAAAGTTAAGTTAGATTATTTTTTATTTGATATAAAAAAATTATAAAGATTAATTAAAATTTGAATAATTTTTATTAAAAGTAATTATTAATTTTTATATTGATATATAAATCTTTTTGTACTAATTCATAATAATAATAATAATTATAATTTAATATAAGTTATTATAAAAAGATTTATATATTAATATAAAAATTAATAATTACTTCTAATAAAAATTATTTAAATTTTAACTAATCTTTATAATTTTTATATTAAATAAAAAAATAATTTTAATTTATTTTTAATTATTTTATTATATTTTAATTTAATAATAAATAAATATTACTTTATTAAAAAAACTAAAATAAAATTATTATTTTAAAAAAGATATTTTAAATATTATTACTTTTAATTTACAATTTTAAAACTTTAAATTTATATAAGTAAATTACTTTACATTTGATAAATATAGATTTTAAATATTATAAAAATTAGATTAGAATTATAAAATATTAAGATTTAAAATTTAGTAATTAAATTATTTATTATATAATTTTTATATTAATTTTAATTAAATTTTATA